CTGGGACCACAGGCGCCCGCCACAACGCCCGGCTATTTTTTTGGTTGCAGCCATCATTGTTGTTTGGCGGGTCCGGGCTGGGGATTCGAACCGGCCACCCTAGGTGTACGTGGCTGGCGCCTTAGCCAGTTGAGCTATAGGCGCCGAGCCACTAATAATGCTTTTTTCTCCTTCTATAGTTTTCACTTTCCCCAAAGGTTCTACAATGACCATATTACTTCTATAAAATAAAAAAAATCTCATCTTGACAATGAAAAATGGACATCTGGTCATCTATACCCAAACTGAAAAATAAAGCATAATGTAATCAGTCTAATATTGACTTTCTTCACTGTGTCAAAATTTACAAAGGGCAACTACAGGTCAGAATTGACAATGAGACGCCTCTGGCCATTTATGTCGGTGATGCGCATTTATGTTAGTGAGGCAAAAGTCAAATGATAGATAGCAATTATTATAGACTATGTTGCATGCTTTGAAAAAAAATTACTGTAATTAACTAATTTTTCAGAATTTATAAAAAGATAGTCACATTATATAGTCCAGAAATATCACTGTAACTTCTTTTTAACTTTGATGAGGAAAAAAGGGATAAACAGGCAGAATATGAAAACAGAAGCTTTTTAAAGATACTATTTCAGGACATGGCTAGGGCTAATATTCCTTCAGTCTTGTGTCCCAAAATCCTGCATCTCCACCTACAGTCATATCTAAGAGAGATTAGGATAAATAGAGTCGATTATGTCTTTTCTCCCTTCCCTTTCTATTATGTTCCCCCATATTAATCTAAAATTAAAAAACCCAAAAATCCCTAACCAGAGACATTCAAACAGCAAAGGAGAAAAACATATGTATAACTCAGATCTAGAAAACTTCTTGACTGTTCTATCAACTCAAAAACTGACCTTGTAGTTTGTTACAGGTATTACTATTCCCTTTCTCTCTCTTGCAAATGCAGCAGGTCTTTAAAATTCAAACACACGCTCAGATATTTATATACACTTAAATGATATAATTAAGGCATACAATGCAAATAAAAGTATATTCCAACTAAGCAATGAATATTCTCCTATGAATATGTTGGCTAATGCTATATATAACATTTATATATTACTAAAATACTACATAAAGTTTTTGATTCAGAAATCTAATGATTATATTTTATTTTTCTGCTCTTTTAAGTCTCCTTTTAAAAATAATTTCAAGGATAATTTTAATTATTTCAAGGATAAGTTTAACTGATGGAAGACAGAAGATATTCACACACAAGATAATTTTAAAGCCATATGGTTCATCTTCATCTTACAAGGGTACATGTGAATCTTTCTAAATCGAGAATACAAATAACACAATAACTAAGAAAATGACGTGAAGACTATGTTAACCAGTTTGATGAAAATATTTCAAATTGTATGTAAAAACAGCACACTGTACCCCATGACTGTATTAATGTACACAGCTATGATTTAATAAAAAATAAATAAATAAAATGATGGATAGTAACCCACCAAATACCTGAATATAATAAACATTCATAAGTTCATATTATAATAATATAAACAAATTTAAAAAAAGATAATGTTAAAAAGAAATGCTTCACGTCAAAACGCAAATATACACAAGTTCACAAATACAAAGGCAGTTCATCATATATAAATATATATTCTATATTCTGTTAGCCTCTATAATTTAATGCTTCACGTCAAAACGCAAATATACACAAGTTCACAAATACAAAGGCAGTTCATCGTATATAAATATATATTCTATATTCTGTTAGCCTCTATAATTTAATGGCTACCATCAGTAAAAGCAATTAATTCCTCTTTTCATAAAATAGCAGCAATGTCAAAAGCATAACAAAGTCTACATTTTATATATACTTCATACCCAAAAGCTAATTACTTCATTTATTAAATAGTATAGCATACATTAGGAGTTTCTATAGCAATTCTCCTTCAGATTTTGTATGTACTTCACAAAAAAACAACTGCTTAGAGTTTCTTGAACACACAATTAGTTTTCTTGTTCCTATCTTTATCTATATGCTATTCTTTTTGCCTACCATGCCTGCCATCTCTTCCACTCAAAATTTCCATTCACTTCTCAAAATCCTGCTCAGGTGCAAGTATCTCTATGAAGCATTTTCTAACCTGCCCCTGAAATTAATCATTCCTTCCTCTTTCCTCTGTAATATTTTCGTATTTTCTAGTTACTTCTATTATTGAACAGACTCATAAATTATCTCTTTATTGTTGTGCCTACCCCTTCATAATCCTAATTTTCCTGAAAGTCATGGGCTGCTTCTTTCTAACCCTAACAAATACCAAATCCAAAAAGTAACTGACTTTTGGGTATGAAGTATATATAAAATGTAGATTTTGTTATACTTTTGACATTGCTGCCATCTTATGAAAAGAGGAATTAATTGTTTTTACCAAAGTAGCATTAAATTATGGAGGATAATAGAAAATAGAACATATATTTATATATGATGAACTGCCTGTGTATTTGTATTGTGAACTTGTTTATCTTTGCATTTTGACCTGGTATGTAGAAGATAAGTGTATTGAACTTAAAGAGTTTTTGTAATGTTTACATTCCCCAAGAACACAGCTATCTATGCACTGAAAAATGTGCTATAGAAATAAAAAAGAAATACACAAAGTGCACTATAGATAATGCCCAATCTCATAATGCAAATGCGGATTAATGATTCTTAGCAATTCAAAGTTGTTTCATTATGTTAAGTCCATTCTACCAACTAGTGATCACCACAACTAATTTTGTCTAGGAAGCATATCTGTGTAGAAAGCATATGTGGTTTTATAAGTCTTGATTTAAAAGAATTAGTATGCATCAGGTACTTAAGTAAAACTGCTTATTAAAAAGAATAGCCTACCACAGATGTTCAACTTGTGACTCATGAATTACTTAAGGTCTGCTTTGCTTATCTGTGGTACTGGATATTACAAGCAAAAATTATGCAGGGACTACTTTTTTGCTTATAGCTTTTGTTAGCTTTTATTAGCGTATTTAATTGTGGCCTAAGACAACTCTTCTTCCAATGTGAGGCAGAGAAAAAAAGGTTAGACAATCCCAAATGACTGGTACTCTTGGGCTCTATGAAGGCTCGGAGGACCACTTCCATTATGACTTCATTCCTCTAGACTATGATATCACGAGTCAGGAAAGACGGTTGCAGCATCCACATCTCAGTCCAGGGTAATCACAATGAGGGCACTTCCAAGCTGACATACACATATATACACACAAAATCCTTAATCAAGAGCAACCAAATATATCCCTTTCTGTAAGATGAAAGACAGCTATCTTCGATTAATACAACCAGTTGGTCTAATCAAAAATAAATTAATATGAGGTAGATGCCAATTAGTGTGACCTCACTAAAATGTAATTTAGATTTTAAAATTTGAGCATTAAATGAAATAGCACTGGGTATCACTGATGTAACATAAAATAAAATAGTGTGTTATTTTGTGTTCTGTTCCTCAAATAACACATCTTTCACTTTGGTTTCTGGAAAATGCAGATTCACAATAAGCAAGTGCCAAGTGCATAGTAAAACTTTGCACACAACACACTTACTGCAAACAATGTCAACTTAAATGGGTATGCCTCAAACTCCATTTTTTCCTCATAGGTAAGTACTGCCTCCCCTCCCCACTCTCCAGCCACTAACTTCAATAGCACAAGCAAATACTGAGTGAAAAACTAAGAATTCTCCCATAATATAACAAAGCACAAGGATTTTTCATTTGCTCACCATGTTCTTTTGGTCAACTTTAGGTTCTTGCTCTTATTCCATGGAATTAAGACACTTACTCTATGGAGTAAAACTGGTATCTTACAGATTAAGTTTTCTGTATTCATTTTTCAATAATTAAGAATATCTTTCATTAAAGAGGATTTGACTACTACCAACTATAGTGTTATAAACCCGCTGAGAAAGAAAAACCTAGATTTCTATAGAGCAATATTTTAATTTGCTAGAATTATATTAAAAATTAAAATATTTCTCAAATGTTTCTATAGCTACAAGTCAAATTTATTACATAGATGATTCCAATTACAATCACAAGCACGTTTACTACATAAACAGACAACACTAAATGGTGTAGAAAAAAATGTCACTGACTTTTCAATATAAGAAAGATGTCCCACCCTTAGTCTGTAGAGAAAAAAATCAGTACCTACTCTGAAAACTACTGCTAAGATAAAAAATGGAAAAAGGAGAATGGAGAGAAAAGACAATCAGACAAGAAGCTAATTTTGTCATTACTATTAACTATTTATTAAGAACCCTAATGCTAGGGATTTGACAAAAATTCTGAAAGACGGTTCCAAATAGTAACAGCAGAGAGAGAGAGAGAGAAAAGAGAGAGAAACAATCAAATCCTTTACTTTTCAATAGCTGGCGGGGAGGAGCAGCAGCACTATAGTCAAGAAGTAATTCACTATACCTCATTCATGAATGAAAAGCAAATTTCACCCACAGGCTGTTAACCGATGCTCTAAACTTATTCGCAAAGTACACAGATAAGGAATAAGGCTGGGCAAGACCTAACTCCGGCAGAGAAGCGGCTTCAAAACCTGAAAAGGAGAAAACAACGAGTCAGGTCGTCGCTCCAGAAATTTCCGAGCGCCCGGCTCCAGGGTAGGGATCGCGGATGCCAGAGGCGGGAGGAGACGGTAGCACCTGTCACTCGAGCGGCCCCCGCAGGGTCTGGGGGCTCGGTCACGGCCCGAACGCCGGGCGCTGAGGTCGAGCGCCGGTCCTTCCCGCCGCCCCCG